ATGGTAAGAAAAGACACATTGGCATAAGAAATGAATCAGTTAGACGCTTAATAAATAATGGAGTACTCTCTTTAGAGTATGTGAAGTCGGAAAGGAACCTAGCAGATCTGCTTACCAAAGGGTTAAGTCGGAAGTTGGTCCTAGATTCATCGAGGGGGATGTGTCTCAAACCCATTGGTTGAGGAATTCATGGTGGATACCCAACTTAGTTATCTAAGTTCCATGTGGTCAAATGAAACCATGGAAAGACTCATAGTGCACATTCCTACTTCCTATCCCTATGACGAATAATGTGCATGCCCAGGATGAGCTTAAGTGCTCTTAATAAATTCATAGCCCAGACTTTGGGTGGTCTTAGTGAGAAAGACTTGATGAATTTACCAATTTTGGCTGAATATCTATTCTTAATAAGTTTATAACCCAATTTGAGTGGGTATTCCTAAGTGAGAAGGAAATAATGAACTTACCAACAGAAAGGTTGAGTTTGTTAAACTCTTAATAAATTCAAATCCAAGTATTTGGATGGTTCTAGTGAGAAGGACTTATTGAATTTACCGATAAATGAGGCTGAATATTTATTCTTAATGACTTCTTAGCCCAGAGTTTGGGTAGTTCATTTATAATGAACTTGAAGAAAGTCACCATACTCTTTGTGAGGTTGAGCTTTTATAAAAGCTCTTAATTATTTCATATCCCTGTTAAGGGTGGTTTATATCGAGATAAACTTGATGAAATAACCTATGTAAGTGAGAAGGGTTAGCTGCCTTCTATGAAAAATGTTGGCCCATTTTTCTAGCACACTTACTAGAATCCTAAGGTAAGATGGCCAAATATATACTTTTGTATATATATATATCTTACACATCGAGGACTCAGGTGGATGAAGGGGTTAGTTGTGTGTTATGAGTTTACCCCCATCTTAGAAAGTTCTAGACTAGTTTCACTTATCTAAGAGAAGGATTGCTCATTATCACTATGTACTAGTTCTAGTTACGTTCACTAGTTCTTAAGCAACTAATCTCGCTATTGCTCTTCTGGAAAGTTGGTTTTCGAGTTTCACAAGAATTCTTTTGCATTAGTGGGGGAATGTTGGTAATGCTCAATCCCATATAGTATTGAAAATACTATTGGGAATGGGTATTTATGGTTTGGATTTCCCACTTCCTTGTTGAGTGAAAAAGAACAAGGGGACCTCGCGCATCGCCGCCGCCGCCGTCCGTCTCGTCTCAGCTCAGCACGGCACGGCTTGGCTCGGCTCGTGGTCGTGGTCGTGGTCGTGGTCATGGTAATACGTGTCTTCGACACGTCCGTGCGAATACTATCTTTTTAGAGAAAATTCTTGAGGAATTTCTCTTTGAAAGAAACAAATGGAAAATGTGAAAGATTTCAACTGGTATTTATAGGCTGCTGAGGACTGTTTAAATTTAAATGATAACAGCTGGTTTATGAGAGTTATCAGAAATTAAACAGCTTTTCCTAAATTAAATCAAAAAAACGTTAAGATGTATCTGGACTGATTTCCAGCTTTGTACAAAGGGGACAAGCTGTTAATATCAGGAGTTACAGGAGTTATTTGATTTAATTCCAGGGGTTACATGATATAATTTCGGGAGTTATAACAGTTGAATAATGATGCAATGAACCTGGACTATTTCTGAGTCAGGTTCATCTAGACGTTTCAGCTGTTACAAAGAAGAGATTTAATCCTAAAATTTTATGGACGATTTTAACCCTATTTCTAGCCTATAAATAGAGAGCTATATTAAGCTTCTCAACTTACTCTCAACATTTCAGAATTCACTCTCCAAGTGTTTTCTAAAGTTCTCTCTGTGTGCTTTCCGATCAGAAGTACAATACCATCAGCAGTCCACTCCAGTTTTGGGTGTAAGAAATTCGGAGCGACCGTGTTAACCTCGGGGGACGGTCCGCCTACTGTAGCGATTACACACATCGGGGCGAATTCGTTTCTAAGGCAGTGGTTATACCACGGCACGGTTTACGAATCTTTTCCTTTTAATTATTGTTTATATTTCCAGTCAGTGCTAACGGTGTAGTTTTGCAGTCTATTTTACCAACACTAAGTACCAGGCGCACAGTGGTTGGTTTAACAACTGGACTAAAATTTTCGGTGAAATCAACACCCGGACGTTGATGGAAGCCTTTTACGACTAGACGGGCTTTGTACCTGTCAAGAGAGCCATCAGGATGATATTTAGTGCGTAATATCCATTTACAGCCTACCAAAATTTTGAGTGGGGCGCGGCGGAACAAGCTCCCATGTTCTGTTGCGAAGAAGAGCATCAAATTCATCTGACATAGTGCGCCACCTCCTAAGGTCTTTTAAGTCTTAAGTTAATGTGGTTAGTTCACGGGTAGGGTGGTGGAGTTGTGCATGAAGGTTGAATTTTTAAATGGGTTTGCGTATATTGTGTTTGGAACGAGTAACAACGACACGAGGAGGTGAGGGTGACTGTATGGCAGTGGTGGTTGGTAATTCATGTTGAGTGGAGGTGGGAAGAATTGGTAGTTCAGATGGATTTAGTGTAATATTTGGTGAAACGGTTTGATCTAGTGTAGGTGGGGAAGACGGTTGAAGGTTGGGATTAGATGGAGTGGTGGAAGGAGATGGAGTAGCAGAGGCGAGTGTAGTAGTAGGTGTGGAGGCAGATGAAGTAATGATTGGTATAGACAATGAGCACCATTCAGAATTACTAACAGGAGTAACTATTGGATGTGTGGGAGCATGTTGTGTAAAAGGGAAGACGGTTTCAATAAAACAAACATGGCGAGAAGTATATAGGTGACGAGAAGACATATCAAGGCAGAGATAGACACTGAGTAGATGAGTAACCAATAAAGAGACAAGGTGTTGATTTGGGTTCAATTTTATGATATTCATAGCGACGTAGCCATGGATTACAAAGGCACCTAAAACTTCGGAGTTTACTATAGTTAGGAAGAGTGCAAAAAAGTTTGAAGTATGAGGAGCCATTATGAAGGGTAGGTGTAGGCATACGATTTATAAGATAAACGACTGTGGAAACGACATATGACCAATAAGATAAAGGCATAGAGGCATGGGAAAGAACGGAGAGACCTGTTTCGACTATGTGTCGGTGTCGACGTTCAACAAAGCCATTATGCTTACGGGTGTGGGGAGGAGATGTAAGATGGGAAATTTCATTGACGGTGAAAATGGAAGTAAGGCCTGGTATTCACCTCCATTTTTGGAGTAAATTGTTTTAATTTCAACGGTGAAGAACTTTTCAAAAACGGCTTTAAAACGGATGAAAGTATCGCGAGCATCATACTTGCACTTTAAAGGATATAGCCATATGTATTTTGTGAAGTGGTTGACAAAGATTATATAATATTTAAATTGTCGATAGAGCGTATTGGAGAAGTACACACATCGGTAAAATATAACCCCGAATCCAAACCAAGAAGAAATTAAGTCGAATCTCGAGAATCATGATAAAACTTATCCCTCAATAAATTAATTTTGATTTTTTGTAACTCGTAAATAGTTATAAAATACTAGAAGGCTGTGAAAAACCCAAACTAAATATTTTTAAACAATAAATCAATTGAAAACCAACATAAGTATAAAAATCTTATCAATCATTCGGAAAAAAATAAAATAATGCCCAATGTCCTAAAATAAGTAAACCTTAATAAATATATCCAAATAAAATAATAAATAAAGAAATTAACAATAAATTCATATAAATATTCATACTATAGAAATAATGAGTTATGTAGTAAGACATAACTCCAAGTACCGGGTCCTAGTTCGAGTATCTGAAAGAAGAGACTATGGGGGAGTAAGCAACGAGGTTAAATGTGTCTCTAAAGTGCATATATAAATAAGTACAAGCATAATCTGAAGCATTTACAAATCATATTGACATATCGAATCATCAACAAACATGACAGTTAAGATGTTATGCAAATGTTCATACACCCACCCATACATCAATCTCAACTATTGGTTCCCCAAAACCGCACTATATCCATCCCTCACATTATGTAAGTGGGGTCTGCCACAAAGGCGAAGCTTACTGAATCTGAAAAGTGACATTCACCCCGTCGAGTTAATGCATTGAACTTATCATACCAAAATTTTACCCCAATATAAATGCAAAATGGCAGAATACCTGATATCTAATCTGATCCGAATAATACTATTCCTGATGCATTTATTAAATCTGAAACATATACATATTCTGAGGCATGTATTTCAGTTCCAAAAGTTCCAGACAATTAGTATGCTCACATAATTGCAATTCCAACAGATACACAGTCGCATGACATAAATTCTGAATACAGATGTGCAATCAATTCCACAATCAACATGCCCACAATAATTTCATCAGACAACCAAATAATTCATGCATTTCAAACAATAATTATAGCACCAATAAGAGACACCTCGACAACACTGACGTCGGTAATATCGTCTACTACAGTTAACTCGAGTAGAAGTACGGCCCAAATCAGAACCTACAAATTAATAATAATTACTAATTTAGTCTAAAATTTAACATGAGTATAATGTACTAAAACTAATAAATTCACTCACGGTCAACACTTGCAACCCGACTCGGTTTGAAGTTCACGGGTAACGGAAGCGGGGATTGTTACTCGGTTCTCGATTTGATATTTCTTGCAACAATTTTAATTCACCAATCAACAATCATATCGATTATTTTCCAGATTGTAAAATAATAGCTAGAGACGAAATTAAAATCATTTTTGCCTCGAACAGAGATCCAACAGCGATTAACGGTTTGAATATATATTATGCCGGTACAGGAATAAAGGATTGCCGGCGACGAACTTTACTGGAAACAGTCCCCATCGGTCGGGAATGTCACGACCGACCCTGTCGTGGCCTAAAACAGCCAGCCATAGTACCCACATGCTGCCCAACGGATGCAGCAAATAAACAGTCCTAGCGAGTGCCGACCGCTCAAGGCCATAAACGACAGGAGTCCATAAACTAGAAATGAAAATAGCAAATTAAGGGTTGAAAAATCAAAAGTTTAGGAAAAAAACATAAGTTTGTAGCTGTAAATGAAAATAGCATTTGTCTAGTTTTTCAACCTAAAAAAAAACTGATTTTAAGAAGCATCAACTTTACAAGATATTCTCATAGATATGGTGTCAAAATCTAAGAAAATAATTGAGGTGTTGTCCCTTGTTCGCTGTGTTCTAGCCTCATTCAACAGCACATGTGCAATCTCCTCTGCCAATTTCTCCTCCTTCGACCCCTCCCTCGTCTGATGCCCAAACCATTAGTCATTTATTTGGTAAAAACCCAGAGCAAAAAAAAAAAAAAAAACAACTAGAAGCTGTAATATTATTATGTTAAAATAAATTACCTGCGCAGCTAACTGGATTGCCCTCCTAACACTAACAACATCCCAGAATCCATCACTGCACAAGTGGGATTCATATTTAATGAATATTTGGCAACAAAATATGAGCTAAGCAGTACATAAAATAGTTTGTTTTCATCAAAATAGATTCCGAAAACTGTCACAATATGTTTTCACATGCAGATTATAAACAAAAATGGAATGATAGAATCACCTTGCTAGTAGTGCAAATGTCCCATTTGTTTGATTGATATGCACTGGTTGGCTTATGTAGGGCTCGCAACTAAAACGTGAATCTTGCTGCTTCAGAAATCTGTCTCCGAGCATCCTTGCAAGGTTCAAACCTGAAACAAGTGGGCAATTACTTTATATGTACCCTTTTTTGGTAATGTCGCCTAGTATAATCTCCTGAACGCAATGAATAGATATATAAATTTACAAATACCGCATATTCGTGTTTCCCCATCTTTTAGCGGCTCCCCTAAAGCTTCAACGCGACACCTTTCAGAATAACTAGTTAGTTTATGGTCTTCTGTCATTTTAATTTGCTCATCTCCGAGACTGTACCATTAAAATTGAATTTGGTAGTAAGTACACAACAATGAAAGCAAATTTATGATGATAATTTCATTTCAAATAAATGAGAACAGAATACACACACACACAGCAATATGACTGGATGTACTACAACAGGCAAAAGACATTGCAATGACACTACATGGTCAACTATCTATATTGCTCGGACTCTTCATATTTCTTGAAGTACACATGTTCAACCCCCATGTTTGATGTATCCAGATACGATTATAAAGATATGACCCTCCAAAGACCATCTAAATATATGAAAAAAACCTTCTAAAATTTGAGTATTCACATTGGATACATACATATATCCGAGATTTACACTAAGAGTAAACATAGGTGATTATCACAAGTATTCAATATCAGGTAATAGTTAGATGAATTAAAGACTAAGGGGCTGTTTGGGAATGCTTATGGAAGTGCTTTTGGCCCAAAATTCTGTTTAAAACGCATAAGCATTCCCAAACAACTCATTTTCAATCAAAATTCACATTTGAAACGTGAGTATTGACTCAAACCAAGAAGCTGGAAAAACGGTGCTTTTGCATTGGAAAAGCTCGTTTGGAAAAGCATTCCCAAACAAAGCCCTAGCATAAGTAGCTGCTGACAGATGTCAATAGATTTCTTCATGAATTGCTGACAACAATTTATCCTATATTTTAACTTACAGATTACAACATTACCTAAGATACAGAAATTTTATTAAATATGATTATCAATAGGGCATGACCAAAGTGATATTAATCTTTTCAAGACTCCAAGTGATAGACTCTGATCATAAAATACCCTGATAACCCTAGAAATCCTACAACTTGAAACAATAAAAATAAAACACGTACTTAATAAGACAAGCTGAATCCCCAACGTTTGCACATTGTGCATAGAAATTTCCACCATCATCAGCCCAAACCAGAAGAACTGTTGCAGTACAGCCCTGCAAGGAATGAATTATTATGATGCGCACCATAAACGTCAAAGAAGGCAGAAGAAGGAGATCCTGTGCTAGACAACAACCCATTAAATTATCATAAAATGCCAAAAGGACATGCAAAATCAACTAAAATAAGTGTAACAGCCTGAAAAGAATATGATTCAACAAGACTTGTAGCACATCTACAAATGATAACAGCAGAAATATAGTACAGACAGATGCTAAGGGAAAAAAACAGTAGAACACACAGAGAGATTTACCAATTAAACAGAAAAAGAAATGTCAATGGCAGGAATAACAAAGAAAAGAAGAAAATCAAGGTGAGGGGAAACCTCATAATAGTGATTCATGCTCGCTTCTGTGCGAGAGAATGCATCTTTAAGAACATCAGAAGCATCATGTTGTGACGAAACCCTCTCTCTTTTAACAAAATCTGATAAAATGGTAGCAAGCATCTCAGGCAGAATCCTGGTCATCAAATTCTTGAAACTTCAGTAAAAGAGTTGAGTCAAAATCTGCATATTGGCTAAAATGAGCAGAGCGGCTAATTTTTTTGGTCAAATCAGAAACCTTAAATCTTGGTCTGAAAGCTTCATGTTGCAAGAATAATGCAATTTAGGCCTTCAATTAATAATTGCTAGTTTGAAGAAGAACAAGAAAATAAATAAGAACATTTTTTTTCATTTAACATATGTGTGTGTATTTATAGCCAAAGAAGATAAGATTGGAACGATACAGAGAAGATATGTATAGCCAAAGAGAACAAAAGAAAACAGAATATACTAATATGAACATATCCAAATCGTCCATCTGTTTATCACTTGAATTCATATACAGAAGAGGAGAGAAAGCTAAAGAAATATACATGAAACTGCACTTGTTTAACTTAAATTTATAAGCCTCCAACAATCCCTTTGAGCACTATCAAAAGTTCGTACCTAGAGCACAAAGTTCCCACTATAAACAGGGCTTGTTAAGGATAGAAAGGGATAAAAATGAAAATTTTGTTAATCAAATGGTTAAGCTAGAAAGTAGGAAGGTGATTATGAAATCCACCAAGAAATGCCTAAGTCAGCATTTATCATATCAGAAGCTCATGAAAATGATATTGTTTAAACAAACACACAAAAAAAAAAAAGACAGATGGAAAAAGATGATACACTCTAGAACACACGATTAATCTATGGGAAATAAAAAATTTATCTGATAATTAATCGAAATATGAGAAGTCTACGAGCAACCAGAACCCATCTAGGAAGAACCCTAAAAGATGTAAGAGGGATACTAACTTGCTCGCATATTGAGCAGCCTCAACACCACCATGTCCATCGCATATACCAAACACCCCAAACTGCAATGTCAGAATAGATATAATATTCATTACTTTTAATAGAAGGATAAAAACATCAGGTAAAAACTTGATAACTTGAGAACCTGTTCAATGCCAGGAAGAGGCCACTGGTAAAAGCAAACATCTTCCATGGGAAGCTTCTTTCCTCCTCGACGCAATGACATAGGGTCCGAGATCATACCAACTCCAAAAGGCACCAGGCACTCATTTTGGGATGAAATATGAACCTGTCACGGAAGACAACATGCAATCAATAAAATTAGCTCCACCAAAGCAAATATAGCCATGCATTACAAACTGATATGGACATTATACTATCTGCAATGTGTACATACGAGAAAACACTTAACCACAATAGTCTATCAAAAAACTAAAGCAGCTGCTACGCAAACAATTGCGTCTACAATCCTAACCATATGGGATTTTATCTTATTGAGACAGCCTATCAACTGTTAACTAGAAGTGCAACATTAATATTCAGTTCTTCAATTTACATCAGCACCCTTGAAAGATAGTTATGAATGAAAATGCAAATACCTCAATATGCTGGAGATGTGAATGATGAACAGCTCTTGTTCATGCATAAATTCAGTACTTATGAACATGATACATTATATATCTAGGAAGTTTTGAAATTTCAGAAGCAAAAGAAAAAAATGCCAGAATAAAAAAAGCACATAGACTTGCATGTATGTTCGAGGTAGTGCCAAGAGTAATTGTGTCTCCACTTGCAAGTTCCACAGGGTGGCTCCATTGCCTACTTCCAGTATCAGGATTATTAATTGGTCGAGAATTCAATAGTGTTCCATTGAGGCTACCCATGTCCACCAGCTCCCATTTAAGTTTCTGCAGGAGTTTATAACATTTGAAACATTAATGCACCACACATATAACATGCAACAAAATGCAAACTAATGTCATACAACTTGTGAGAAGTTTACATTTGAATTCCAAGTTACCATCGCATGTTTTCCGGAAACCTCTGCATCTTTCAATAACAAATCACTTGGAGAAACTCTCCCTAGGGTCAACCGCAGCCTTGAAGTGTTTGTTGACTGTACAGAACAACGAGATCCACGAGAAGGACCAGAGACAACCTCAAGGGAGAGGCAACTTCCAGCACTTCTAACTGAAAGATATAATTGCATGCTTTACACATTTAATCAATCAGAAGAATGAATAATCTCTTCATAGAAGTGGGAGAAAATAGAAATTACGTTGATCACTGATAGCCTTGGGGACAAACTCTTGTATACTGTTTTGACTTTGATTTTCAGGTCTACTAAGTTTTAGCGCTTCAATTAGTTTCTCTGTGGCCAATGGGCGCTTTAGCGTCTGCCCAACCAAAATATCCTCTGAAGGATCAGATATCACATCTAGCACCAAGCTATCGCCTGTACAAAATAAATGATTAATATTGGATTCACTTAAGCAGAACGGTTAAAGCATAATTATAAGAGAAAAACAGTAAAAGATGGAAGCAAAAAGTCACAACCCTGATCCAAATGGGAAGATGCGGAGGGGATCCGCTGTTTGTGAGCAAGTCCCTCATTACGAGGTGGACACAGAAGAGCTTCATTTTGGTAACATGCTCCCTCTAAATCATAATTTCTTGTCAAATCATTGCTTTGGTCTCGAGTGAGATTGACATCATCTGATACTAGAGGCCTCTCAACGTCATCATCCTACAAATCAATGTAAACTGTCAAATGAAACAGGATCACAAAAGATCCAAACAGAAAGCAAGCTTCAATAGTTTCCAAGTATTACCCTTTATTAAATGGAAAGAATATAATCTATATGAACAAATTCTATGACAGTTTTGCATTTAGATACACAAACACATGAAGAGTTTAAAAGAAAGATCCCAACTCTTGCTGCCATCACATGCATTTAAATTGTACAGATTTAAAGAAGAAAAGATAGAGGAATAACAAAAATAATTTGAAATTTGGAAGTAATAAATTTGGAAAATCAGCAATTGCATTTCCACGGATATCAGCAAACTGCAAGCTGAACTATAGAATCCTGTACAAATTATTCAAAACATTACTAATTACCACCAAAAAGAAAATTACTAAATAAACTCCCCACATTGATTCATGGCACATAAAGAGCCGATAAATGGATCAACCTAACATTATGCAATGAAATCCATCTAGAAATCAAAATAGGAAAATATATATAAAAAAGCTCGTAACTACCAAAAAGAAATGAATAAAACCTCAAAAAAGAAATCCAGCTCCACCAAAGCTCAAAAGGCAATGATCCGCTATCAGAAACATAGAATCAAACCTAAACCGATGGTGGCAAACGAGATTTTGTTCTAAAATGGAAGGCGAAATAGATCAAATCGAGGGAAAAATGATTTGAGGGTACCTTGACGGTGCTAGAGCGAGAAGAGAATGAGAAAAGGGAGAAAGGGAAGAAGCTCCATGGTTTGAAGGCGAGAAAGATGAGAATAATGATAAGGATCAAAATAAGGAGTAGGGTGAAAACGACGATGCTTTCTAGCATCGCCATAGTCGTTTAGCGCTCTCCTCTCTCACAAGGATTTCAGATTCGACACTTCTTCGCCACAACCTCGCTTTGAATTGGTCGCTTCACATTCATTTTCCCCCAAATTTTCTCTCCTTTTCCCAACTAATTCTACAATGTCGTCAACGTATCTATTGATTTCTCTTGTTTTTTTAGTATTTACGGATTTTCTTTGTGACTTGTGCTTGCGTGCCACGTGGTATTCATGCATTAATTTTTTAAATAAATTTACTCATGGATTAAAAAACATTTTTCATTAAATATGTAATTTTTTTTTTTACTTTCAAGGATGGTAGATTTAGAAAATATTCATAAAAAAAATATATAATTTGATAATGCGATGAGTGTTTGTTAATTGAGTAATTCTTAATCTATAAGTAAAATCAAACAATTTTTGCTTCCAATGATTTAGAGAGCCTTTTACACCACAAAAAGCGTTATCTTAAATAACGGTTTTCATATGAAATTTTTTTTTTTAATAAAACATATATATTTAAAAAGCTATATAACAAACAAATATTATATATCAACTTTTTTAAATTAATTTGGTTGATTGTTCCGGTTATTTTTGTATAAAAGATTGATTTATGTAGTTATTTTATAACAAACGATATACAAAAATATTGGAACATAAATTTTGAAAAAAATTGAGTTGAATCATAAAATTAGATTGGTTTCAGTTCAATTTTGTTAAAAAAAATCAGTACGATTTTTATTCTAATAATAAGTGAATGTTTTCAAACATAAGTTGAAAAATAATAATTCAAAACAAAGTGAGTTGAATTGATTCAATTTTATTTTTATTTTTTATAATAAAAATTTATGTATACATTTGTAGAATAAACTTTAAATTATTATCTAAAATATTTTTATTTTTTTTAAAAGAACCGACTACCTTAATTGATCTGAATCAATGAAAACTTGTTTTTTTTACATATAAATCAATCACGATTTTGTTTTTAGAAAATTATAATGCTGAATATTAACAGTATTTTTTTAAAATCGAGTCCAACCTATTCATACTACCGTTTCTATAAATATAATTTAAAAGACTTTATATTAAACAAAAATCACTTTCGTTCATTGAAATCCAATTTCTTTAGGAAAATATGAGCATTAAAATATTAGTATAGGATAAAAGGCCAAAAATAAATAAGGGATTATGATAATAAAATTGTAGATAAAAATAAGATACTATTTACCTGTTTCTTCTCCATGATGCTTTGGCGAAAATATTTGAGTGAAAGTAAGAGTTTCAGTTGATTTGTTCAGAAGATTATTGAAAAAACAAATTACTAATCACTATAAAGGAAAATTTCTTAGTAGGTGAAAGTGTGGACGCACGCTGACGGGTTTTTCCAATGATAAAATACGAGAGTTACTTGTGTTTTCTTAACTTATAAAATACAATTTAAAAAACATATTCAATTTAAAAAATTATTTAAACGGTATAAAATGTATCGAATATAGACACCAATGATTAATTCAAAAAATATATCGAATATATGATTTTATTCAAAATGTATAAATTACCTGTAACTTGTTCGAAATCTTTCTTAATTATTAATAATATACACATCATTTAAATACAAATGTTTGATTCTAAGGGGCTGTTTGTTTGCCTCTTAATAGAATCATTCAGCGTTGAATGTTGAACCGTTCAACATTCAGCGCGTTTGTTTCGCACCTCTGAATGATTCAGTCCTGACTGATTTAGCAAAACAGTGCTGAATGATTCAACACAGAAGTACATTCTGAATGATTCAGAGTCATTATCAAACAGTATGTCACATTCCGAGCTAATTCATACAGAGCCTCTGAATCATTCAACATTTGAATCATTTAGCGTTTAATCATTCTGAAGTAAACAAACAATCAGTCTATTAAAAAGAATAACATTCCCTATTACACTGAGAACATTCAATAAAAAGATAATACATGCAGTAGTTTTTATGGAAACATAGTCACGGATATCATGTATTTATTTCTACTTGCCATATATGATTTTAGTTAATTAATTGTTTTTGTCTATTTAATTATACATTTACCATTTATGGAGTTATACACTAAGCATAATTAAAATCATATTTATCTAATTATTTTCTATTAAAATTTACTTTAATAGATTTTAAGATGAATATTTACTCTTAACAAGAAGGCATAATTATTTTGATTAATCTAGGGTAAGCACAAGATAATTTTTTCCGAGATAACTCTCAACCTCTTATGATTGAACGCTCACACCCCTAACATTCTCGGTGCTCAAATTCGGGTCGTAAAAGAATAGTTTTAACAAATGATTAAATAAAGAGTTTTCTCCTATGGGAATGATTTGGAAGATACTATTATAAGCCAAATGACAATTTTTTGATAGATCATTTCTAACGGAGGTTGGCCCGGGTATAGATAGATATGGAAGGGACTTTGATTATAAAATTTACCTATCCGGTTCGAATCAGAGATGGCGATAAGGTTGAGCACGACGAAATTTTTGTTGACTTTGACTCCTATTACAAATATTATAGTCCTCATTTGACTTCATTTGTGTTGAGGAGTAAAGTGTTTGCATCTACCGTGAATCTATTTCGATATCTGAGATATAAAAACAATATCAGTTTAATCTCATATAATTTTATATTTTTATATTTTCTAAGATTTATTATTTCAAAAAATAAACTTCAAAAATAGTATAATGAAATACATAAATGAAAGATAACAATACAAATTTTAGAACTACAGCAATACTAAAAAATATATGCATACATAGAAAAAAAAAAGACAACACGATATCTTAAACGAATTAGAAAAACACACAAAAAAAAAATTACATCTTATTTTTCATATATTCAATTTTCGAGATATAACTTCTCTTTGTTTAAAATGTGAGCTTTCTGTAATCGTTTTTTTTTCAAATCATATCAAGATCGAAAAAGAAAGTGAAATATTTAAATATATAGATCTTTACCTGAAATAAAGAAGGGAAAAAATAACAAATATGGGAAGAAGAAAAAAACCTGAAAGAAAATAAAAAATAATCAGAGAAAATTAGAAAATTAAAACCTTAACATATATTATAAACACAAGTTAGGATCCAAAAAAAATTGAACCTAAAGATAATTGAAGAAATCAAACTAAAGATGATTGGAAAGAAACTTTAGAGATTTCTGAAAGTGACGCAGGCGGAGCAAAGAAAAAAATGACATAAAGTTAACCTAAATATTATATATATATCAAATGATATTTTTGTAAATATTATGACATATATAATGAACTTTTGTAAATATCTCAAGTCAAGTTAGAGTACGTTACCCTAAATCTGACTTTGACCCAAATTTAAAAAAAATCATATCAAATTTGGCATGATTCTCTTTGAATTAGATTTAAAAAAAAATGATTCTAGCAAATCAGATCAAATTAAAACTTATTAAGATCGAATATTTCTTATATCTATAGTTATAATGCAAGTCAACCGTACTGATAAATTATACATATCGAAAGCATCATTCATTGAATGAATAAAACTTACTATGGAGAAAATTAATTTATCTTTTCTCTAAACTCAAGTAGTGTAACCTCAATATAGATGTTTTGGCTACTCTTTTGTTAAGTTTGATAATATATGAATTTTCTGTAATATTATCGATTTCTTCAATTAGATTTTTTTAAAATTTGATGGCTAGAAAAATCTTTTTCAGGGCTGGAAATTTTTTCTAATTAATAGAAAAAGTATCATATCCGATTCAATTCAGTTGATTAAATTGTTATTTTGGTTGATCAAACCAAATATGCAAAGCTAAGTGAACTAACCTTTTTAAAAATTAGGTAAATTACACCGTTCTTCACTAAACTTTACACTCTCTCATATTCTACTCCATGTACTTTCAATTTTTCTACTTTCTTACTAAACTTTACAGATTGAATAAATTTTCTCACTTTGCCATTAACTCTCTGATGTGTGATGATGTGGCAGAAGCATAAAAACAATGTTGTTTTGAAAAACTCAAATATACACAAAAACGACATCATTTTGAATCTCTTATTTCCCCTAATTTTTCTCTACTTTGCGAGTAAATTGTCACCCAAACTAAAGGATCTAGAGAGTTTTACTATTCCTTACGTTCTTGGTGATCAATTTGTAGGTAGATCATTATGTGATTTATGTGTCAACATTAATCTAATGCTCTTGTCCATTTTTAGGAAATTTGGAAATGGGAAAGAAAGGCATACCACTGTGACACTTCAAATTTTCGATCACTCCTACCATCACCTATTTTATCTCGGCGGTGATAGCATTTTTTTAATGGGCCTTATAAATATAAAGTGGATAGTTTTAAATATGGTTTATGATTTTGAAATTTAGTATTAATATATAGTGTTAATGTGAAAGTTTTTTTTTTAAAATATATAGTTGTGATATAGTATATAGTTTTAATATGATATTAGTTTTTAAAGAATGTAGTACAGTTTTAATAATATGATATGTGACATGATTTTAAAAGAGCATATAGATTGTGCTTTAAATATCTAGGTATGGTTGTAGAATTAGATTTTAAAATTTTAGTATATTAAATAAATAAATACATATTCGTATAATTAGTAAAGTCCATTTTGAAGGTCCATTTATATTACATATGTAGCCCAATATATTAAATAAATAGAGTCCATTTATAAAAATATAATAAACCCAATACAAAAAAACCCTAGCCCCTAATGTGACGTGCTACCACCACTTTGGGGCGTATTTAACGAAAAATCACTGATTTTTTTATTTACCTGTTAGACACCGTTAGAGAAAATATTACGGATCTAGCACCCTTTGCAGAAAGGTGCGGCTCATGAACTGCGCCTTACGTTGATGTGTCGCCACGTGTTGAAAGGCACGACCCATGAACCGCGTCTTACTCCAGCTGGAGCCATATCAGCGTATGAACCACGCCTTTCTGTCAGCTGACACACACTCCAGAAAGACGCGGTTAATAATTATATCCGAAATTTTCGGCTTTTAAACTTTTCCTTCGGCTATAAATAATATGCTCTCAACCCGTAAACATCACCCATCAATCCTCTTATCTTTGATTCAGAAGTTCGTTCTATCTTTCGTTGTAAGATAAATTTT